AGTAGAACTGCTGTAGAATAACAAACTCACTCCTAGAAAGAAGAATTCATTGCATCATGATCAGTGCAACTGGACTCAGAGGGCCCATGTTCCACGGAGAGACTGTTATTGATGGGACACCAGTGAAACAGGGAACATAGAGAGTTAGACTGGAAGCAACACAGCCACATGGACAGAGCAGTGCACAAGGTTTAATAAAATTCCACTTGTTCAATCTGACATGCATTCAGCTTCACTCTCTGAGAATGAAACATGGGGGAAAACATCTGAGCTGCAAATTCTCTGAAGTGCAACACTGGATAGCCAGAGCCATGGAACTCAGTCTGAAGTCCCCCGGCACCCTGGATTTTGCAGATCCAAACCTAGCCCAGGGATGGAACTGGTGAAAGGAGGAGTTCAAGCTGCACACACACCTGGCCATGCAGGAGGAAAACAACAGCTGGAAAGTAAAGCTATTATTTTACTTGACTGGGGAACAAGGCAGAGAGATCTGCACCCCAATGAATCTCACCACTACCTTATACCTCACAGCAGGGAACCTGTTTCTTCCCAAAGCAGAATGAAACTGTGGAGTGACACAAGTTCTTCACTAGAGACCAATCCAAAGGAGAGGACATAGACCCCTACATACAGCCTTACACACAATGGCTATTACATGCAATTTTGGGACAGAATCCTTTATTCGGGACAGGATAGTCTGTGACACTTGGGCATGTAGCAGAAGCCTCAAGAGAAAGGATTAAAGCCCTTGAAGGCACAACACATTCAGTGAAACAACAGCAAAGGAGAGCAGGTAGCCAGACCCATAGTGAGATGCATTTGCTCTGTGAGACAGCACCAGTAGGTAAAGGAGAAGTGCCCTGCAATAAGGCAGTCTTGCAAGAATGTAGTAAGTTGAACCATTTTAGCAGGTTGTGCAAGAGCAAAGGAAAGTCTTAGAAAGATTCAGACATATACAACAGAGGGAGGGCACATCAGATGGGGGTGATGATGTCCCAACTCTCTCCTTGCATCTGGCAGTGTATCAGGTTCAAGCTGTTGGGAGAAGAAAGCAACAAGGGACAACAACAACCCTCATGCATGCAACAGTGTTAATAGGGAACTACCCTGTGCAACTCGAGCCGGATAACAGGATCTCCTGCACTGTGATTCCTCAGGGAAAGTGGACTTGAACACACCCATTACAAAGAGCAGGCACAATCTAATAATGTGCCATGACGGCATAATGCTCACCCTCTAGGAAAATGTGACCTCATAGTAACTCACCGAAAAAATAACAATGGTGGTGGACAGTCACAATCACAGACCCCTACAGCCCATACAAACCCTGGATCTAATCAAGGTTCAGCATCAGAATTTTATAGCTTCAATGCAAGAAGCAAAAGGGAGTGTCCCATGGACAATGGAGACAATTTTAAAGCTTATGGGAATGTTTTCAAAGGTGGCAGGTGCCTTGAAGGAAAGCTGCAACTAGAAGTAGATTCCACAGTGGAACCGGTGTGCTTACCACAAATGAAAATTCCAGTGGAACTACATAATCCAGTATGCAAGGAGCTTGAAAGTCTGCAGAGCAGGGATATCATAGCTCCTACAGAGGCCAGTATAGCCTTGGTAAGTAGCATGGTGGTGGTAAAGAAGCCATCAGGCAAATTATTCATCTGGATAGACCCAGAACCACTGAACTGGGAATTGAAAAGATCCCACTATCCACAGCCCACAATTGATGTTATCTTGGAAGAACATAAGAAAGCCAGAATCTTTATGGACTGTGATGTAAGATACATAAGCCTGGATAAAGAGTCCAGCTTGCTGAGAACTTGGCAACACCATTTGGTCTCTGCAGATGGGTGCACATGCTAATGGGTATAAGCCCAGCACCTGAGGTGTTCCAGAGAAGATTCACCCAAGTACTGGAAAGGCTGCCTGGGGTAAAAATAATTGCAAATGATATCCTCATTCTAAGTGAAGGGAGCAATGATACAGAAACTGAATGACTCCATGACAGAAAATGACAAGTTACCTTACAGCGAAGCAGGGACAAGAACATAAAACTCGGCCCAAAATTTTTTTGACTCAGATAGCAAGATGACATACATTGGACATCTGCTCACAGCAAAGAAACTGAAAGCAGATCCCAACAAGATCAAGGAAGTCAGAAACATACCAGTTCCAGTGGATGTAAAAGACACCTCAGAGGAATGATAAATTTTCTGTGCAAGTTCCTTTCACACCAACCTCCAATAGCAGAACCCATATGTCAGCTCACGAGGCAGGATGTTGAGTGGGACTGAGCAGGCCTCCAACAACAAGCATTTGACATGCTGAAGCAAATGATAATGGAATCCCCTGTCCTGCAGTACTACCAGCTTGGAGAGCCACTGTTGCTCCAGTGTGATGCATTGGACAAAGGATTGGGTGTATCTCTTTTGCAGGAGAAGCCAGTAACTTATGCCAGGAGAGCCCTGTCAGAGACTGAACTGAGATACATCCAAATAGAAAAAGAGCTTCTGGTTGTAGTATTTGGAGTGGAGCAATTCCATTAGTACACCTATAGCCACCCAGTAATAGAGCAATTAGACCACAAACTCCTAGAGACAATCATCGCAAAGCTCCTTCCTAGTGCCCCAAGGAGACTGCAGCACATGTTGATGTACCTCCAGCACTACCAGGGAGAGATCAGATATTGTACAGGAGAATTACTGGTTTTAGCTGACACCCTGAGCAGAACATATATACCCAGCATCAGCGAGCTGGGGGAAGGGATCAGACCATTTAATCCATTAACATGCTGCACTGTCTCCCAGTTTCAACAACAAAGCTGATGGAAATCAAAGAAACTATGGAAAAGGACATTCAACTACAGGCAGTCAAGAGAGTGATACTAACAGGGTGACCAGAAGAGAAAAGCCAAATACTGGTAGGCGCAGAACCATATTTTGAAATTAAAGATGAGCTGAATGGATGGAATCCTATTTGGAACACAGAGAGCTGTTGTTCCCAACCCTGCATTATGTACAGATGTCATCCAAAAAATACATGGCTCACTCCTGGGCACTGACAGCTCGGAGAGTGTGTTTATTAGATGGCAATGAGTACAGAACTCTGCTCGTTGATAGAAGGATGTTGCACTTGTCAGTCATGTGATGACTACCAGCAAAAAGAGACTCTTACCACATGAGCTGCCCATCCCATCATATGAAAGGTGGTAGCAGACTTATTAACCTTCAAGGAAAAGCAGTACCTGATTACAGTGCACTACTATTCAAATTTTTGGTAGTTTGATGCCCTGCCTGATACAAGAAGCAAGTTGGTGATTGGCAAACTGAAGACCTGCTTTGTGAGCTATGGCATTCTAGACACTGTATTTGCTGACAAAGGATGCCAATTTGCCTTGGAAGAATTCAAGGAATTTGCACAATACCTTCTCCCCAGCATACTCACAGAGTAATAGTAAGGTGGAATCAGCTGTGAAAACAGCTAAGAGACTGTTACACAAGGCCGTCTCTTGTGGTTCAGATCCCTTGTTAGCATTTTTGGCACACAGAAATACCCCATCACAAGGATGCCAAAACAGTCATGCACAGACATTGATGAGACAAAGAACCAAAACCCTGATACCAATGGGGGGGAGGTCTGTTGTAGCCAGAAAGAAGGGGACACTGCCGAGATGAGAAGGCCAACAATCAGAGAAAGCAGACATTAAAGTAGGTCAGCCAAGGACCTATGGGCTCTAGAGAAAGGCACTCCTTTGATGATCCAGGCATTGGAGAGACAGCAAAAGTAGTCGACTAAAGGGGGTCATGAAAGGTGTAGGTGCATCCAAGTCAGATGAAGTCACTACACAGGAGGGACAAGTGAACCAAAGGAACAAGAAGCACTTACAAGCCAGTTGACAAACACCCAGAGAGAGCCTATGGTGATCATCAGAGAACAGAGAGCCATCTGGAAGCCAACTCCACAAGAAGGGAGGAGAGTCCACAGAGAGTGAGTTTACTAGACTCAGAGACTGGTGACAAGGAGACAGACATAGAACAATCCCAGTGACTCTAACTAGCTAAATCTGTGATAAAGACAACTCGGCCATGTGCTAGCAATCTCTGGCCAAAGAGACATGGGGTGGGGTCTGGGCATCAATTATTTGTTATTAATGTTTAGATTAAAATGTTTGTAAAAACAGAGATATATCATGATCAGTGGAACAGGAATCTGAGGCCCCATGTTCACTGGAGGGACTGTTACACTATTGAGGGGACACCGGAAAACTAGGGAATGTGGGGAGTTAGGCTGGAAGCAACTTAGCTGCATGGACAGAGCAGTGCACAGGATTTAATAAAGTTCTACTTGTGCCTGCATTCAGTTTCACTGTTTGTGAATGAAACACTCTTGCAAGTGTTTCCCCCAAAATGCTAAATCTCACTTGTTTAAAGGCAGCAGTTTCACAATTTGTGAGGATTTTTTATTCAAATTGCTTAAACACTTGAGTTCCACACATGAAGTAAACTCAAGAATTGTAAATTATTTATGACATTTGCTCTAAGAAGATAAAAGCAGCCATACTTGGTAAGACCAATAGACCATCTAGCACAGTGTCCTGTCATCTGCTAGTGCCAGATGCTTCAGAGGGAATGAACAGAACAGGGCAATTTTGAGTGATCCATCCCATTGTCCACTCCCAGCTTCTGGCAGTCAGAGGTTTAGGGACACCCAGAGCAGGGATTGGGTCCTTGATCATCTTGGCTAATAGCCATTAATGGACCCATCTTCCATGAATTTATCTAATTCTTTTTCAAACCCAGTTATACCTTTGGCATTCACAACATCTCCTGGGAATGAGCTCCACTGGTTGACTGTGCTTTGTGTGAAGTACTTCCTTTTGTTTGTTTTAAACCTGTTGCCTATTAATTTCATTTGGTGACCTCTAGTTCTTGTATTATGAGAAGGAGTAAATAACACTTCCACATTCACTTTCTCAACAACATTCATGATTTTATAGACCTCTATCATATCCCCCCTTAGTCGTCTCTTTTCTAAGCTGAACAGTCCCAGTCTTTTTAATCTCTCTTCTGCTGCAGAAAATGGCAGCGGAACAGGAGGACATTCACAACGGGCCCAATCCATTATGGCCTATGCCCTCCACATCCCTTTTCTTCAGGTAAACAACATACTGATGCAAAGGGCCTGTGCATCAGGTGCAGAGCTGTCTTTGCAGGAGCACCAGAGGGAGGGGAGGGTTTCAGGGGCTGTTTCAGAACAGCCCAAGGGCAGAAAGGCCTGAGAAGAATGAGTTCCAGGGCAAGAGACAAAAGGGACAGAGAAAACATGGGATGATCCATAAGGGCCAAATGAAGCACTAGCATAACTCAGAGAACCTTCAGGTGGCTCTGGCTTGTGGTGGGTGGTTACAGTAGCACCTGTCAGAACCTGAATGTAGGTGATGCAAGCAGCCTTCCCTGTCCCTGTGCAGGGCTGAATCTGGCCTGATACATCTGTGGAGTCATACAAGGATGGTGATGTGTCTGTACAGTGACTATCTATAGGACACTAACTTGGTGAAATCATTTTAAAATGTTTTTGTGGTAGGTGGATTCAGGTACACGAGTGCTGATTCTACATGAGCCAATTCAGATATATCCCACAAGGATCCTGACTTCCTCTCGGATCAAAAGCTTTGAATCATGGATGTACCTGTACCTTGACAGACCCTTACTGTTTGGCCTTTTGGTCACAGTTTCAATTGTCCTCATTTCCAGTCCTTCGGTAGCTGTACATGCATGGAGCGCTTAACTGCACATGTCAAAGGGGAGTGCTTACAAAACAGTAACTGGCAAATCCTCCTCCCCAAGACACTTAGGCTTGCTCTGCTTCCGAGAGGCGCATCTTTTTCTCACGCTCCCATCACAGCAGGCCTGAGGAGTTGGAATAGTGAGATCTTCCTTAGACTTAGTTCTCAATCTGCTAACAATAGAACCATCAAGCTACTGATAGTTCAGAGAGTACTTTCTGCATTAGCAAACTTGGCATGATTGCCCATGTCTACTTACCCACTAGGACTGGTACTAGCACTACCCCTGAATTTGAACATTGGGACCACAAGATCATACCAGTAATATCTGACTTAGTGTGTGAACTTGGGCAACTTGGGACTTTTCAGAACTCCATTACACAACACTTTCCTACCTTTGTAAAGCAGTTTGGAGATCCTGGGGTGACACATACTAAGGGCCTGATCCAAAGCCCACTGAAATCAATGGAAAGACTCCGATTGCCCTCAAGGGGCATAGGAGCAAGACACACAAGTACAGAGTATTACAGCAGATGCTTGGTAGCCCTTGTTATAGCTAAGGTTTCAGAACAGTTTCAGTTATACCCCTATGTTTACGTGATCAGCACTTTCTGAAACAGACATCTTTTGAGCTGTCTCTGCCTGAAGATTAATTTTTCCCCAGAAAGTTTGGGCACGCACCATCCCTGAGCTCCAACAAAAGTAGGGGGAGTGAGTATCCACATTACCCCTAAGGCTAGGGCAGTGTGTTCCTCTCCCCACGCTCAGCACAGAGAGTGGTTAGCACATATTCCTGCTCCATTTGGGGTGACTTTCAGGGGAGCACATGGACTAAAACTGGGATAGCCCATTAAATGGAGATTGTTGTGGGAAAGGAGAGAGTCTAACACACCCTCCCCCTGAACCCTTGGGTAATTGCCTCTGGGCCAATCACAATGCAATCCTTACAAGCTTTACTTGTATTAAGAACAAAACTTGATCATATTCAAATACAACAGTTTCAAACAGAGAAAGGATGACTCTTTAATCAGATCAGTTCAGCCAATACAGTAGATCAAATATTCATTCTTGAAACCAGATTATAAGTATATAATCAGTTATGGCTCCCACAAATAATGCACAATTTAGCAGGGAAAATAGAAATGCTCACACTTTTTCCACCTGATTAAAAAAAACATTTTTTCTCTGTTTTTGTTGTTGCTGTGGCAGGATGCCCTAGGCTTGGGAATTCGCTCACTTCATCATTCTGGGACTACCTTTGCTCCATTTTCGTCTCCTTCAATGCCCTCTGCCTCTAAAAGCTAAAGATTATCTTAATACCTTACTTCCCACAGGGAGGGTAGCACATGAAGCGTCCCCTGAGGCCATGTTAGATGATGCTTTATGTATCTGTGGGCTTTAAAACAGCAAGGCTGGCTCCATCCCTCTGGAGACCAAGTGGGTCATTTCCATGACATGCTTCTTCTTGGCAGTCCACAAAGGGAAGGTCCCAGGGTTCTTACTGAGTTTTCTTTATATATTAGCATGAAAACCTACCATTGCACCACTGAGTCATTCTGTGCTATTTCACTGGGTGAAGTCTCCTGTTCCAAGAAACAGTCTATCCTGAGGCACAAAAATTATAACCTGCCTGCTCTAACATATTCATGGAAAATCTAGATATTGTTTACATACTTACTGTACTATCCAGAATTATTATTTTATAACCATTCAGGTACTCTTAGGGTCTTCTCCTAAATGCCCATCATCTCCTACAATGTGCTGAATTCCTGCTAAATCCAATAGGAGGTGGGGTAGCGGAGCACCTGGCAGCATCAGGCTCTTTGACAGTGTTACTTACAAAAATTAAGAACTATTGTGCTAGTAGGGGCAAAAATAAATGTGTAAAAAATGACCAGAATAATTACCTAGACAGTCTCTCTCACACACACACATTCCTGCACATTTTAGAAATCTCAGGGCTTAATCCTAGTAGGCACAATAGTATGCCCCATCATTACTCCCCATCCTAGCACTTAAACAGGATGGGTAGATAAACAAATGTGTGGGCTGGGGGAGGGTTCCTCAGGTTGGGAGGAGATGCACCCTCCCTAACAGCAGGCAACTATCCCCAACTCCAGATTGGAGGCAGAGAGTAAGAAGCTTCTACATATGGGGAGGGTTTCATCAGATTAGATCTCCCTTGACCCCAGTGTTTTAGTTTTAGCTGTTAAAATAGGGTTAAGTGTGGGAGAGGGTCCCTACAGTTTGGTAAATGTTAGAAAAGCCACCTGTGAGGTACAGTAGCTAACACCAATCAAAACCAAAAAGTAGTTAAACATGACAAAAAAACCTATGTTGTGAAGCTGATGAGGAGAGGCTGATAAGTCCATAACTGTAATGTACTTGTGTACATACCTGTATATGTACTGTACAGTGCATCCCTGTTTTGGACCCCAGTCAGAAATAATCACATACATCTCCAGAATAACTTGCAGGAACACAAAACAGCTGCTATGCAGACATTTTGTGTGTCCCGCATACAGAGTAAGTAGGGTTGATCCCTTACACATTGCCTTTTCCATCTCTAATATGCTCACATTTCCTGCTCTGCATGAGGGGTGAGTAGAGAATGCTTCACTGGGCAGCCACCTTCACAATGGAAGTGGTGCCTAAGTGGCCTAGCACAGGTTATAGTCAAGGAGTAGCCTTGCAGGAGTAGGCTCAGATTAAGGCTGGTCTACCCTACCAAAGTAAATCGATCTAAATTACACCAGTTCAGTTACGTGAATAACGTAACTGAAGTCGACAGCTAGATCCACTTACCGTGGTCTCTACACTGCTCTGTGTCAATAGGAGATGCTCTCCTGCCGACTTCCCTTATGCTTTTCGGGGAGATGGAGTACAGAATCGATGGGAGAATGCTCTCCCATTGATTTAACGTGTCTTTACCAGACCCGCTAAATCAACACCACTTCATTGATTGCAGCAGTGCTGATTTAGCCAGTAGTGTAGACATGGCCTGAATTTCACAGGAAGTGCAGGGGATGCACTAAGCAATCATTTGAGTGTCTTTTCTGCTTTACTGAAAACTGAACACTATATTGGTGTGATTTTTGGAGGGCATTGCGGGCATAGCTGAAAAATCAGGCAACATGTGTAAACATACTGAAAAATGTTTTTATATATTTATATATATTAGAAATAATAGGATCATGTGCAGGATTAAATTTCTTTCATTAATTTAAAGCAAAAAGTGATTTAAAATTACTATTTGGCTAATAACTTGATCATTTTAATCAATGTACTTATCTATTAAGTATATATAGTATGCATACATATATTAGTCTACTACACAAATTATTTTTCAATGTTTGTTTTTTCTTTGTACATGTGAGTAAAATAATTTGAATTACAATTACTAAAAAAAACTAGCTATAGGAATTAAATTTCATACAGCATTTCAACCCTGGCGTGAACATAAATCTGAAATTAATACAAAAAGTGAAATACTTTCCATAGTGAGGTTTGTGTTTAGCAACAGAAAAGAATAAACTTTTGTTTATCTCTGAAAATAGTTTTCTTCACCAAACAAATGACTAGAATAAGATTAAACAAAACATGTTTTGGCTCCTCAGATGTACAGACATTCCAATTTCCTTTTGCACAATGATTTTTATGCAAATAAGTGCCGCACAATCTCCTGACCTCTTTTACCATCATACCGGAACAATGACAGTTCAATAATTGGAATGGCACATATCTGGGATGTTTGATTTTAAATTACAAAGTTGATGCAGGTCTATTGAAATGAAAATAATGTGACTTTGTGTTAATTCCAAACTGATGAAAGTATCATCATTTCATGCCAAACAGAATAAAGCAAACTGAGTGATCGAGGTTGTTGGCCCATTTTGAATCCACCCTTCCCGTCATTTCATCTCCCCCTTCCTCCCAATTTTTAATTCGTAAGACTGATGCTTTCATCCATAACAAGGATAATGAGAAAACTCAAGTAATGTTCCTTGGGGGACTGTAACGCTACAAGTTACCTAAGGACTATATCCCATTTGTGCCTCCTTGCTAGTGATAGAGACAAGCAATGCATTCAATATCTCTGGCTGATTTAAAATCCCAATATGCAAACAGTATTATGGAATCCAGACAGACTATTCTGCTTCACTGATGACAGATGCAGGGGAAAGCTAGAATACTTAAGCTTTTGACTTTGAACTGGAAGAGAAGTGGACACCTTGCTTTAAAAAAGCATAGAAGTACAACCCCAGCTGAAGAGCAGGTGCTGCATGGCATTTGTATTTCCTCCAGAGGATGCTAGCTAGCAAGACCACTCAGCTGACCATGAAAATTCTTGGCCCTAAGTGACCCAAGAATAGACTATAAATCCATCCTATAACATATAGTAAAAGCCCCATTTGTTCTTTCATCCTTTCAATACGTGAGGTTATACATTTGTGATTATCTCATTTTATTGGATTCTTTAGAAACCTGTTTATGCTCATTTGTGAGCAAAACAAAGACTCATTGTAACCTCTTTTTTAAATAAGTTTGAAGGTCAAAGGAAAGGGCACTCCTTTTAAAACTGTTATATGCAGGCAATGATTTTGTGTGTAACACTGAGATGAATTTCAGCAAAGGGGTTGGCGTTTTAGTGAATTACACATTTAAGACATAATAGTCCCGCAAGAAATTCCTGTTGAATTACATATATTTGACAACTAGATATAAATATTGGTTTTCAATATTTTCTGATAATCTTAACTAAAATAGAGGGGGCCAGATATTTAGGTGGTATAAGTGGAACTGTACTGATTTATACCAGTTGAGGGATTGACCCCTAGTTTATTAGGGGAATCTCTCATACATCATCTTTAAACTCTGTCAGCTTATTTCATTATAATTAAAAATAGTATAATTAAAATATCTTCCTTTCAGTGTTCCGAGAGTGAAAGAATTATGCAAATCTACCAAAACATAGTTAAGGAATAAAAGTAATAAAAGTAAAAATAATTAGCTCACTCTACCCATGTTAAAAAAAATTAGAGTGCTACCTTAGGCAGTGAAGACAAGACTTTCCAAAGACAGTTTTGGATGGTTTTTTTAAGGATTCAAAGTAAAGTTTTATGGTAAAAACTGAATCCAGCTTTGTTTGTTTCCTCAATCATCATTAGCAATAGACATAAAGGTATTCTGGTTTTGAGCCCATATGGAAAGATCATCAACACTTTCTGCTTCTGGGTCCTTTGCCAAAATACCATATCCCACATGCCTTCTACCTTAAAACTTAAAAGAATAGGTGTTGTTCTGGTCAAATAACGAAATAATTTTTACTAGCATACGTCTAACGTTAAAGCTGCCTAAATCCTGCCAAAGACATTAAAACACCATCTGTAAAACAGATTTTCATTAAATTGATCAGTTTAAAGTTAAGCAGCTAGGCAGATGATGCTTTTGAGCTAACCTTTAACCTTTAACCTTCTTAAACTGGAATTAGGTCACTCTCTTCTTTCGAGTAATACCCTCGCTGTTTCAGCACACGAGAGGTAAAGTGATCTATTCAAATTGAACTGACAATCATAGCATTAATAGTGTTATGAATCAATATTTTGTCAATAAAGAGAAAAGCAAAGTAGTTTCCACACAGCTGAGTATTTGTCTGCTAACTGCTGCTTGTCAAGTTCCCTTAAACTCTAAACAATTATATATGTAAAATAATGGGAGGTAAATATGCCATAAAATACATTTCCCAATGAAGATATTAAGACTAATTTTAGCATTTTCTTCTGAAATTACAAAATTATCTGGCTAGCTCTAGACTATGTTTGTTAATATCTCAGTTAATTAGCATTCCTCATCAACCAATACAATGGGACAACTACTTTTACTGTTTACATATTAAAATTACTTCAAAACTACTGTATGCCAAGATATCTTACTGAGATACAAAATGGCTTCCTTAGAGCAGTTATAATTATAGTTATGTTACATCAACAATGATCACTGTGCTACCTCAGCTTTCTAAATCTGCAGAAGTTTAACTCTTACTCCTGCAGGATGGAAATGCACTTTGTTGCTATACAATCTTCTTCTATTTACTTGTAAAGTTATTGAACACTTCTTGATGGATACTGCAAAGAATTCATGTCTTCTGTGATTTAATTTTCTAATACCAAGCTTCATAATTCCAAATGCAAGTCTTTTAGAACTTCATTTAGCCCAAACTGAGTTTGTTCAAGGTAAAACTGTCTTTATTCTGGTTTCTAGCAGTCACATTACTAATACCACTTGAATACTGTGATACTGAAAAGAGTGGGGTTTTGGGGGGTGGGTAGGTGAGTTAATAACTTAGAAAACAGCTAAAGATTTTACTTTGCCATATATAGAATTTAATTTTAAAAGTGGCTAAAATTATACAGCTTCAGCAGAGAAGCTCTGATGTTCATAGTAGTTTTAAAAGCTATGGTTACAAAGACCTATCCTTTTATTCCATCAACAGTTAAGCCCAGAACAAAAAAATCAAGCTATTATGGCAACATTTATAAAAAGAAAACTCACAAGCAATAGCATTTAAATAAAGATTATAAGTGACTAAAATAAAAATAAAAAATAAAAAAAAATAAAAACTTTGAGGGCTTGAGAAAACAAAGAAACAAAATCATAGTGCCTTTTTCTATGCTCTCATATGGTTCTAGTGTTAAAGTTTCTTATTACTAAACCATATTCAGAGCACCTTAATTTTACAAGAGCTAGAGAAGCTACTTGAATATAAAACATAATTTGAGAAAATTCGACATCACCCCAAGACAAAATGTCTATTATTCATATAAATTCATGTTTTTTCCTAGGTACTCTAAAAGTTTATCTGATGTACCAAGAGAGAAAAAGTTCAAACCGACTTGCTTACAACTATTTATCAACTGCTTCACTTGGACTTGACTAAACTATCAGCTCTGCCAGCTGGTAACTTTACAGACTTGAAATATATCCTACAATTCCACCCTAAGGCCTGATCGCACATCCCCCACTAATAGTTGCTTGGGGGATGTGCAAGAAGCTGTAGGATCAGGAACATTATGTATTATTTTAAACAATATGAAACAAGAATGTTTTGATCCATAGGAACCTGTTCCAGTATTGCCAACCCCAAGCATTTAAAAATATTTAAGTCAGGCCCCAAAAATTCACGAGACTAGCTGAAAACTCATGAGATTTCTTTTTATTCTTTTTACTAGGTTCTTTTTATTTATTTTATTTAATTCAAGTTTTCAAAGCTTTTCTTTGCAATCAAGAGGGAGGAGGTAGAAACTTCCTTAAAAAACAAAAACTCTCACTTCCTCACATGACTCCAGGCACTGCGGCTTCAAGAAATATGTCAAACGCCAGGAGACTCGTGATGCAATCGCAAGAATTGACAACATTGATAATTCTCTCCTATGTATGCTTTTATAACTCCTTGAAGCTCTAACGGTGGATTAACCCCAGTGCAAAGGATCCACATAAGGCCCTGACTCTGGTGATGTTTAGGGCCTTGTGCAGGCCCTCTGCACTGTGGTAAATTTCACCCTAACAGGTTCAGGTCCAGGCTACTTTAAAGACTGCCACTTTCCTTGTACTTCACTGAATCAGATACGATCAGCTGAACTGCTCAGACTAACAAAACAAAAGTTGAAAAAGGAGTGGATGTGTGGCAAGACATTTTCAGTGAGGAGGCCTAGAATCTGAAACTCACTCCCTTTTCTTTGTCCTTAAGACTCTGAATTTGCTGTCCTGAAGGACATGCTGCAAAGCCAAATTTATTTGGTCAGGAATTCTCCAGGGAAGGTGGGTTGCACTGATGAAGGGGGACAGTGTCAGTTTGAGTGGATTGCTAGTTTTGACTGATTAGTTTTGAGCATTGGATCCAATTTCTGTCTTGCAAATCTGCATATATGCCAAGGGATAAAAAAAGTTAAAGCACCTAAGTGATTTAAGAGTCTAAGTCCTATTTTTAAAAGTGACTTCAGCAATTTGGAACTTTTGAAAATGGAACTGAGGAACTTTTGAAACATTTTCCCTATAACTATTGATGGGTACATTTTAAATTAAATTAATAACAATAGTTAGAGTTATGGGAGGATGATACGGACCCCATAGTATTATTAATGCATATGTAAGGTCTTCATTTTGTCTGCAGTACAAACCACTGACATTACAGCCATCGTGTTAAAAAAGGCCTTTTCTATATTTTTTTACAAGTGTTCACTGTATTAAAGAGGCAAGATGGGTGAGGTAATATCAATACCACCTTCTTTTGGTCCAATAAAAGATATCACCTCACCCACCTTGTCTCACTAATATCCTGCGACCAACACGGCTACCACGGCACTGCAATCACTGTGTTAATTCGTGCGTCTGACGAAGTGGGTATTCACCCACGAAAGCTTATGCTCCAATACATCTGTTAGTCTTAAAGGTACCACAGGACTCTCTGTTGCTTTTTACAGATCCAGACTAAACATGGCTACCCCTCTGATACTTGTGTTAATTCAGAAACTAACATTTGAACTTGGCCGAAGTCCAGTGAAATATTATTTCTTGCCTAAACTAAAGATCTGTTGAGTTTTTCCTCCATTCTTTGTGTGTGTATAAATTTTCAATACGATTAGAAAAACAGCATAGGTACTGTAATCAGCCGTTGACTCCTGATAGTTTAGTTATCACAAATTTCTAGTATAAATCAATAGGTAACACTTGCAAAATGGATTTTCTAATCACATTTAGAGCTTGTTACAGTGACTAATGGTTTGCAATATTTTCTGAATTTTAATATCCTCTAGACAAAGTTTTTAATAAGTTACTAAGTTATTCATCTTTGAAATGAATGTGTTATATTTTGTACATGAACCAACACAATCAAGCCAGTCCAGTAAACATACCGAAGAAAATAAGTTACCCAGTAATTAGGGTTTGGAAAAAGTCATGACAAGTTGTGTAATAAATGCCGTTCATCACTCCCACGTATTCATTACATCTTCATAGTTTTTTCCAGTAAAGATAAAAATATATTTGCCATTCTACTAACATATTTATCTGCACCACACCCTTTCATGTTTGTGAAAATCATTATTGGCTTGGAAAAGCAGGGCAGACAAAAGGAGGACAGTGTTTACATTTGAATACTCTTGGCAATAATGTGGTGTGTGCATATGTTTACTGTACACACTGATGTAAAACAGTGTGGC